ACAGATAGAGGTGTACCCAAATTAGGTAAATCTAAAACCCCGAGATCAACAAAGATATAAATTACGGTTGCCATTGAGTAATTTTAAAAAGAACAAAACAATAAACACTCCGAAAATAGTTAACATTTTACAGTAATCAACGTTTCGACTAGGTTTCAGTCGCCATCAGATGATGACTGAAACCTAGTCGAAACCTTGATTAAAACCTAGTCGAAACGTTGATTAAAACCTAGTCGAAACCTTGATTAAAACCTAGTCGAAACCTTGATTAAAACCTAGTCGAAACGTTGATTAAAACCTAGTCGAAACGTTGATTAAAATGTTAACTATTTTCGTTGTGTCTATTTTTTTGTTCTTTTTAACAAAGATAGACTTCTTCTGATCTTCTCTTCAGGATGAGTGGATGACATGCCAACGCAACTGGCTGTATTTAGAAAGCATCTTCAGTGCTCCAGACATCCAGAGACAGCTACCGGCGGAGGCGAAGATGTTCATGACCGTTGACAAATCTTGGAAGGAGATCATGCGGAAAGTTGTCAGATTGCCAAATGCCATGAGAGCTGCGACACAACCCGGTTTGTTAGAGACGTTCCAAAATAATAACGCGCTGTTGGATCAAATTCAGAAATGTCTTGAAGCTTACCTCGAGTCCAAGTGTGTTGTCTTCCCAAGGTGAGAGGTTATGAATCAAACGCATTCTTAGTTCATGAGGACATTAGCCAACCACGTTGCTGTATTTTGCCTCTATGATTATTATGTATATTCCAATTTTCATTATTGCGTAGTCATACCTGTAATGATACTTTTTCATTGTAGATTTTATTTCTTATCGAATGATGAATTGTTGGAAATTCTCTCTCAAACTCGCAACCCTCACGCTGTTCAGCCACATCTACAAAAATGTTTTGATGCAATTGCAAGGTATGGATTTAGAACATGAAGTATGTAGCAGTTGTAGTCAATTTGTTTTACGGAGGTGCTGTTCATATAAACTACTATTCTCCTCAAGAAGAAGCTATACAACTCTTTGTTATTTATAAAGCTTTCATTCTTTTCTTCTAGTTTGGAGTTTGGAAGTGCTCCTCCTCCTGCACAGGCCTTGGGTGACGCAGCTGGAACTGAAAGACGTATGTTACTTCTCGTGTATTTCATCACCACAGATTTTTGCAGGGGGGTGTATATTCATATATTCATGTTCACATACCGTAAAAACAATTGCTTTCAAAAGAAATCCGTCGGGCAGAACGCGAATATATGAATATGCACACTCTGCCAAATTATCGCGCTAGGAACGGCCCTGGATTTTTGTCCTAAAAACATGTAATCCATTCATTGTGTTTTCCCTTTAGCGTCCTCAGCCAGTAAAGTTGTTGAGACAAAGACCAATGATATTATAGCTATGGTCTCTCCTGAGAAGGAAAAAGTCCCACTTGGAAAAGTAAGGCTTGCGTTTTAAACCCACAGATCTACGTTGATGTCAGCCTAGATCTAGGCCTTCTATTTTTATTCTTATTTTTAATACTCGGCGCTTTTTCACATGAGAAGACTGGGAGGCAGTACTTTCCAAATGCTAGCCCGAGGCGAGATTGACCAAACCTGCCAAAACCGGCCGAGTA